TTTTTGATTTGACACTAGTAACTAGTGTGATGCGTCTAGTCCTCTCTTTGGTGCAGATTGAATTCTATCAGTCATGTTTGCAAAGTGGTCTACGATATTCTCATGTTGCATTTAACACCACTATCTCAAAGGAAATCATTAGGTATAATAAAGAGATAACTGAATTACTCTTCTTGTGTTATCATTTCGTACCAGTAGGCTCTTACATGATCAACACTTAGACTTGTGTATTAGTTGACCACGTCACTTAACTTCATTGATTATTTTGTTATCATAAAATACTGCAACTCATTATTAGATAGGCTTTTGTTGTGCATTTCGCGGAAGCAATTACTCAGAAGTGATAACAGTACCCCATCATGAGTGAATTCAACCACGTGTAAACATAACATTTCACGAATATTACGTCTTCTACACCGGCATCACTTTGCAACTCGACAAACAGTAAGTACTAATAGTGTGGTGGGAGCTGTCTACTAGCCAAATTGGTAGATAGTTTTTACGTCAATATTTACGTTCTCAAGATTTGTCGTGAGAAAATGTGATCAAAGATTGATTCAAAACCGACCACAGCAGACTTTGCGTAGGCGGATGCAGTTAACATATAGAGGATTTGACATTCAAGAAACAGTCACAAATAGATGAAAGATTAACTTTACGTGAGAAACAACCAATCGGAAGACTGTGTTTGTTTGCTTAAATATCCATAGTAATGTACATGAAAATATATAAAAATGCGTTGATTTCCTTAATAAATGATCTGTTGCCTGACCCTTGCCTTCTGTTGTTACAATAGTGTATGAATGGAGTGCAAAAATTCTTAAAACAAGTACAATACCCATTTCTCACTTTACTGAAGAGACATTAACTATGATTCGAGAAAAGTAGTACGTCAGTATGTGAATTTCATGGATCTGTATATAGCATTCCATTCACTAAATACTGAAACTAAACTATGAGGGAAGTGATATTTCCAAGAAGGATATAATACAAAACTCATTTCTACAAATGTCGTCCTCATTTTAGTTCACTTTCATCATACATATATTATTAGAATTGTCTGTCATTGACCTTAGTTACTTACGGTGTAACAGTCTCTCGTCAACTTAGAGTATGCTGTTGATATTGTCTACTTAGACTGTGAGAAGTGACCATTGAAACTGGGAAATATGTAAAGACTACTGGATTTGATTGTAGTGTCTGTGTCCTTTCTTCTTTGTTAATCAGTCATATATGGTGAGTAATATTGGGTTTAAGCTTAGTGTTAGGCAGAAATGCGACACCAAACGTTGTTAATGACACAGATGCATTCACTCTGTGTAATCTCACATATCTGAGCAACCCATATATTTTTTTCCATATCACTGTTCGTTTTCCATCAAATTTGTGCTCATTAGAGTTTCATTTAATTTCTTTTATCTTTACCATTGTGTGCTACATAGAATGTGATAACTTAAACAGGTGCACTTGTGTGCAACCGAACTGAGGTTACTAAAGCTGTCTGTCAATGGACGTGAACATTGAACGTTTGTTTTATTGGGTCTGGCAGCCATTAATGGGCAACTGAAAGGCGCGAATGGTCGATCGCTTGCAAGTTGAAGGAAGACTGGAGTTAAATACGAATAAAAGTACCTTATAACTTCATTTGTACTTAACATTTGTTTGTAGACTTTGTAGTTTTCTTCACTTTAATTGCCAAAAAATATAATTTCGTTCAAGGAATACTGGTGTTTTGGATTTAAAGTTGAAGCACGTACATAGTATTTATCGGTTCAATCGCTTAAGTTTTCATTACGATAGGAACTTAGGGCTAAGTTCCTTGACAGTTTTTATTCGTTTGGTCGTTTTTTGGAGCGCCTTCTGGACTTCTTCCGGGTGTACTTACTAGATCTGCAGCCAGCTTCAGTATGTCTTTTTAACTTGACCTAAGTCTATTTCCTCACCTCTTAACTCTTTTAATTTCATATATATTCCTATTGTTGGAGCGTGTTGCAGACAATTTGTGCCAACGCAATGTTATTCTCACATGTTCCCACAGTTCAATTCGGCATTAACTCCAGAATACGATATATCTATTTGGGCATTCTATTTTATGTTAGAAACAGAATACATTTCCAACAGTCATATACTGCATTAACAAAAAAATACTATGTATATTTGAGCATTGTATTTCATGTCGTTTGATGTACACCGAAATCATACGCTCAGTGATTGATTAAAGAATATAAACTTGGCGAAGTTCAATCATAGGGTCCCAGGCATGAGAACGCTCCAATGACCTTGAACGCATGCTGTTCGTTATTTGACGGCACCTGTCATTCTCATAGCTGCAAATATTAACACTATTCATCAACTAAGCAGCAAATTTCACTCAAATCACGTCTTTTAGTACTGTTTGGACATTGTGTTTATAGCTCGTTAGGGTTAGGATTTGGGTTTAAGTAAGTATTGGGGTTAAGGTTAGGCTCAGGGTAAGAATTACCATTAGGGTTAGAGTTACTGTTTCGAGAAGGGTTATGATTAAGGTTAGGGTAACGATTAGGGATAGATTTACAGTTGACGTCATTTGTTTTTGTTTGTTTTATTATCCACATTTTCCTGGCAAGTAGTCACCGATCCTCTTACTGGAAAGCATAGTAATTCAACCGAGAGTTTTGGGGAGGACTGCACAACAGGATAAGAGAAATGAACGAATCACAGAAACAGCTGATCTTTAGTCACCTCGGTGAATATTTATTGGCAGAAAGTGGTCTAACTTAGCAACTGATACTGCTCATTATAACGTGGACACACATTTGTTAGTCATTTCAGAGAAGAGCAACCTGTTTAGTGTGCCTTCATGCATTTTCTTGTAAATATACGTCATTTTTTGTGCGAAAGCCACTTATTTTTATGATTGGTCGACTAAAGGTCACCCGTGCGTTCGCATCCCTTGGGACGCTATTGTTGAACTTTGTCAAAAAATCTAGATATCTAAACATCTTTTTGGTTAATGATAAATATATCTTGGATACTGTGTCTTGCCTTCTGTTGTTACACCATGACAATATCGTGCGTGATCAGATTGTTCGAAATGTGTTGGGCAAATACAACATTACACGATTCAGACAAATTACGTCTTCTTATTGCTTTGTCTAAATTCATAAACGGAACTAATTGTTTTCAAGTCCTAAATGATGTTTTGAAAAACATTTTGTTAAACGCCTTTCTTTGTCTTGGTCGTAGTAATTTTCTTTTATTTTACCATTTCAATTCATCTTTATTGTTATCATGACCGTGCTCTTAATGCCTTTAGACAACAAGTGACCTACTGTAACAACAGAAGACAAGGGCCAGGCAACAGAACGTTTATTACGAAAAATCAACACGTATTTATAGATTTTGGTGTACATTAAAGTAGGTTAATGTTAGTAGAAAATACAGTCTGTTGATTGGTTGTTTCTCACACAAAGTCAACCTTGCATCTCTTGTGGCTGTGTCAGTTCATCTATATGTTAACTGAATCCGCCTGTCCATCTTGACCTTGTTTTCACATGACTAACATTGACCTCAATTATTGTCAACCAATTGGCTAGTAGACAGCTCTCACCACACTACTATTTTTAAAATCTTAATACCAATACATTAGTTGAATGATATTTAAAAGTTTTATAATTCATCCACTTCAATCCTACCCACTTAATACATCATTTTAATTATCTTTGTGTTTATCATATTATAACAGCAGAAGGCAAGGCACGGAAGCTAACGTAATATTTTCAACTGATCAAACAGCTATTTATATCTATACAGTTTATATTATTTAACCAATCACTGAGCTCGTGATTTTGGTTTACATTGAACGACATTAAATATAATATTAAAATATATATATAGCATTCTGTTGCTAATGTAACATTGAACTATGGGAATAATATTCAGACGTTAACACCAACAAATATACAATGATTCTCACTGGGAGAATAATATTCCGTTGGAATTCATTGTCTGTATAACACCACCACAATATGTATAATATTGACTGAGAAATTTCTAGTACCAGTTAATGCCTTTGTATCCGTGATATAAATACGACTGTCTTGTAGCATGAAACTGAAGTCATTGAAAAGAAATTGTATTTCTTCGCTGAACAAAAATCGTCCAAGTGTTGGTTTACAAGGATTTGATTTGATTGGTTACAGGATTTCACCATGAAATCAATTAGAGAGCCAAATCAAATCGCTGCAAACCAACACTTGAATATCAATCTAATGCACACTAGCGTCTGACCCTATTTAGTTACCTGGGTTCTAGTGATTATAGGGCGCTGGGTTTGGGGTGACCAAGAATGATCTGACCCCGGGTGGAGACTCACCATTATACCTCGGTGGGTTGAGGCTCGCGATGGACCCTAATCGGGTGTGTAGTTTTTGTCAGTGAGGTCTCACGGTCCTCCCTCTAAAAAGTGTGTCGGCGGCACAGCGGTTAGGACTCTTGCCGACCATGAACATGGTCTGGGGTTCGGTTGCCTGCCGACGCACATTTGATATCAATGGTCGGCCTGTAAAATTTGGGCTACCGATATCAAATGCTGATATTTCCATACTTGTACTGAAAATACGGTGTGGAATCAAGCTATAATAAAAAAAAGTTGTGACGAGTGGGGTACAGAAGGTGATCGGGTGTAAGAACAAATACTTGCCAGTGATGACTGGTGATGGCACTATATGGTAAATTGTCAGAAGCTATATTCATGGGCTGGCCAGTGGATCGGGTCCCAGTGGCTGATGAATGGTCAACGAGCTCGCTTTGTAACTGGAAGGTGCTTGGTCCGAACCCTGACGTGGTGGTGGGTGCGTACTGATGACGAGTCCCAAACTAGGATGATTGGGAACAACTGGCTATCCAGTACTCCGTGGTGGGTTTTACAACAGTTCTCTAACCGAAATCAGCTCATAATGAAATCCTGGGATACAAACTTTATCTTTCCTAATGAAATAAAAAGTCGTTTGATGGAAGAATTCAAACAAAAATCTTTTTTTATTATTTCTAATCATAACGAAAAAATACTAGTAAACAACAATTTTGTATGTCTCAGTGTGTTTGTATGTATCGAGGTAAATTTTGTTGAACATAACCTTCATTTCTAATCAATGAATCTAACTCTAGAAGTTCACTTTCATTCGCCTGTCTGTAGTATGCTGGTAAATTAACATAATGTTCATATTTATTAACAAGTAAACGTGTTAAACGCAAATAAAATTCTGGACTATACGGTGAATAATCCATATATACCCTTGATTCTGTTAAATAACCAAACCATTTAAATGGTATTGCTGGTTCTATTTGTGTACCTTCATGCCATTCATTGAAAGATACTATACCTATACCATCTGGTCGACTGTTCAATGCTTGATTGAATACTCGAACATACGTGTCTCCAGACTGACGTTCTTTACTGGCTGCACCATTCCATGGACGAACAGATAAATCATGATAACCTGGACCAACACTGGGATAAAAGCCAACCTTGTACTCTGAACATTGTTTCTTTAAATTACTCCATACATCAGGAGAACTACAAGGCAGAGAATTAAATGAGGCCCGGGGGGGGGGCGATTAAACAGAGTATCAGATAAAATGTATCGAGGTAATCAAGCAATATATAATTAAACGACACAATAAAGGTCTCTGTGTTACAATTATTATTATTGTTCCCATGGGTTCCGAGTGGAACATATGGCTAGCTTCAACAGCACCTCTCCAGTATGTTCTAGTTTCTGCTCTCCTCTTTAGCTAGCTCCACGACTGCCCATAGTCTCTCAACTCCTACTCTTCACATGATCTACATGTCACCCTCGAAACAATTTTTTAAATAATAATAATAATAATTTGCTTTATTCCAAAACAGTACATGTGATACAGAATGGAATTCTCAGCATTTTTCACTACAGTATTGCATCCAGTTAGTACATTATCAATAAATAGAATTCTACATAGATTAAGGAAATCTCAGTTCATTATGACAACAACATATTGACATGTCGGTAGCAAAGCCAAAATTTAACAGTGTTTGAAGGTGTTAGAAAAGTAGGTGCTATCATATTTACTGGTGTAAGTGGAAGAAAGTAACAAAGCAGCACATAACGGAAAGAAAGAAAAAAAGAGAGAGAGAAAAGGAAAAGAAAGAACTAAAATGTTGTACCTATAAATGATATGAGTTGGAAAGACGAGGCCCAGTTGTTCTACTGACTGTTTAATGAATTAAAGGTGTCACGCCTAATGCTTTCTTTATCGCACAGAAAACGAGCTAAGTAGCGTATGGCTGAGTTTTTGTACTTGCTGGTGCGAGCATATAGTTTTCTATATAGACTTCTGGTTTTGCCCGATGAGATGCAAGGGGAGATTTGTGAGTGATCGTTTCCCATTCGGGTTCCAATACAGCTATGACCTGTCAGACAGATATCATTCGACTGTCTTCTCAGAGTATGCCCAATCCATTTCCATATTCGTTTACATATCTATTGCGTAATCGGATCTTGGTTGATTCACTCTTACAGTTTCTTGTTGCTAATTCTTTCTGACAGGACATTTGATCTTCAATATGGAGCCAGCAAAGGTGAATGTTGATATAAGTCCGCAAGTGGCTGTTAGAAATGTTTTTCGTGACGTGCACTCCAAGTTTCTGATCCGTATAGACGAATTGACTTCACATTTGTTTTGAAAATCTAAACCTTGTTCTTTATGCTGGCTGAGTCAATGCAGAAGATTTCCAAACTGATTTCAGGTTGATGAAGGCCTGAGCATCTTGCCTTTCCGATTCTGACTGACTTTGACATCTTCATCAGTGCTCTCCGCCTGCCTGCCTGTGGTTGAAGCCGCGCTTCTTTGCCAGATAAGTGAAGGAAGTAATCTCTGTTAGATCTCTCCTGTTGATAGTGATTGGTGCATATTGTTGCTGTCAGTTGATTGGTTGGCTATCTTCATCACCTCCGTCTTCTCTATGTTCATCTGGAGTCCTATCTTCGGTGTCGGTTTTCACCAATAAGTTTTCGAGTTTGTGTGTTAGACGTGCAAGACTCGAAGATGAGGTAATTGAAATGGATCTGAGTCTGTGAACACATGTTTAGTGTTCGAAAAAATGGCTGACAGAACCACCTCTTCTCAGCATTACTCTCATATGTTAGAATGATCTGTTAAGATTTTGAACACTAATTAAAAAACAAAACACGTAGTTCAGCGAAGAGTCTCCTTTCGGAGACGAATTCATTCACTTAGCTAGCTGTACAATCGCAGTTATATATACTCATTTTTTGTGTATGTGTGTACAGAAGGTTTTTCCGATAAGAATAAAAATAAATTAGGTTTATTGTTGTCAAGACATTTCAAAAATGTGATGAGCAATCAAACTGTAACTAGTGGTGGGGAGGGGTGAAGATTGTTAAGAGGGCACTGGTGATGTGTTGTCAAAAGAACATATTTAATAACACATAAAAAAGAAGTTGAATAAGCGTAATACAGTTACGTAATGAGACGAATAGTTTAATGAATGAGTGGTGATTAAGATAGGCATAGCAACAAAGGAAAATATATTTTCCATGACGATCCGGTTATAAGTGAAGCTCGTAGAATTCTCAGCCACTGGGACCCGGATCAAACACCCATAAATTCCAACTTTGACCAATTCGTCATTTCAGTAAAATCACCGGCCAAAGTCATCCCCGGTAAGCATTTGTTCTCACTCCCAACCTAGTGAACGCCACTGATAACAACTTCTATCTAGAATCCATGGCAACTTCGTCCGGCAACCAGTCACTGGAAAGCATCAAAATAACGAACTAGCAGAAGTTGGAATTCAAGAGGCCACTGTGTCGGGTCCCAGTGGCTGAATGGTCTACTAACTCCCATTTTAAACTGAACCTTCTGGGTCCGAACCCAGGCAACGAGTGTTACTATCAGTCCTAAACTAGGACGAAACAGCTGGCTTACAATGGTTATCTAATTGATATCAGCCAGTGATCTGAACTGAAAGAAAATGAATTCACCAAAAATAACCTATTCGCTGAACTACTTATTTTGTTTTCATTAATGCCTGGATGGAGATTATTCATAATTTTCAATAGTTGGTTTGTAAGGATTAAATTTGTTTTGACGAGGTGACCACGTAATGATATCAGTTAGAGAACCATTGAAAACCAGCACTGGAGTTCTGGACAGCTGTTTGATCCCATTTTGCGAATCATCGTCAGTACGCACCCAGCACCAGGGTTCGAACGCAGGCGCTTCCTGTTACAAGGCAAGCTCGTACACCATTCAGCCACTGGGACCCAATTCATAAATCAAATAGTTAGCAGTTTGATCCTTTAAATTATTCTCTACCAAAATATGTTTTTAAAGTAAATAAATACTCGATACATGTTACAAGGGAAGTCGTGACCAGTAGGGTGCAACGGGTCGGGTGTGAAGACAAATACTCGCCGAAGACATTGGCTAGCGGTTGCGCTATGTTGTGAATTGACAGAAGTTAGAATTCATGGGCCATTAGATCCGGTCCCAGTGGCTTAATGGTATACGAGCTCGCCTTGTAACCAGAAGGTCCTGGGTTCGAACCCCAGTGGGTGCGTACTGCTGAAGAGTCCCAAGCTAGGCTGACGAAACAGCTGTCCAGTACTCCCAGGTTTTCCAATGGTTCTCTAACCAATGTCAGCTCATGATGAAATCCTGTAACCAATCAACCAAATCCCTACAAACCAATACTTGAACATGTTACTCTGTTGGAATAGGACATACATATTACTTATTCTGTAAGAGAATACTGTTATTCAGCTGTTACATTAGTCGAAAATTGTAAATACATCGGAAATCAAGACTGACTGACTGACTGACAGGCTTAAACATAGAACTTTGCATAGATATGAATCAATTCCAGTTGCCTCTCACCCTCTGTGTAGCACACAAACAAAGAGAAGAAAGTAAAAGGATATTCAGAAAACAGATGATAAACCAAAGTTTGAGTGAGGGAAAAAGAACAGTGATATGGAAGAAGAATAGAATTCGATTGGATATGACAAATGACAAAGAGTGAATCCATCTGCGCTGTTACTGATAACAATTGCTTGAAGCTATAAAACCGATTGTCTTCAGTGTTCATTGGTTTTCCCTCCTAACTACCCAACCCTCAACGCCTAACCTCAATGTTATTCACCCTATCATATCAGCAGTTAACACGGGAGATAGGACGCAGACACACCTATGATCAAAGACAGCTAGCTAGCCGTTTCATGTCTTCCACTCTCAATGGTCATGTCTCACAGCCAATCATAAAAGAGGACGGAACGAATTGGTGCTGAGCACTCTCGACCGAAAGCTGCTACCTTGACGTGGTGGTCGGGCTTGAACACCGCAATGACCCAACAAGCTATACTGGCTGGAACTTATGTTCCTGCAGGTCCTACCATGCCAGGAAGGTTGTTCGGATAGCGGTTAGACTAAAAGCAGTTACCCAACCCAAACCTATGACTTCAAACAAATCACAAAATATCATGCCGGATCGGTCGGGGCCCGGATTAACAACGACCGCGCTTCCTGCTGCCGTGTCACAGGGCAGAAGTGATAAATACGCTACTGAGACACACCAAATAAAAAACAACAAACAAAAACAGGCCGTGTGTGACCGGCCTCAAGCAGTTGTCCCCTGGGCTTTGCGGTCACGCAACCAACTTCCACGGTGTGGGCAGCCGGGAAGCAACAATCGCCCTCACAATCCAAAGTACACGCAAAACCTCTCTAATCCTTACTCATCTTTGTATCCATCTTCATCTCTATTATCTTGCCTTCCTTCTACCAATGCAACTCCTCTACTTGATGGCCCTTCACTTCCTCTTCAATCTGTGTGCACTGATAACGATGGAAGCCAAAAAGCCATCATCGATAGTCTCCTAAAGCCACGCCACCAATTTCATACAGGGGCATTTAACGTTAGGACACTTTGCCAAATAGGACAACAGGCATCACTAGCCAAGACTCTGGCATCCCGAGCCATTGATGTATGTTGTGTTTCAGAAACACGCATACAAGACCCAAGTGTGGTTATTCACCTAACCCCACCTGGCCAACAGGATGAATCTGCAAAATTCACCTTGAGGGTGTCAGGAGATGAGACGGCTAGCTCACGAGGATTAGCTGGTGTTGGGATAGCTCTGAGTACTAGGGCAGAAAAGACATTACTTGACTGGATCCCGGTAGATAGCCGAATGTGTGCTGTCCATCTGAACGGATCAGTGAAAAGGAGAAAGGACTGCACTACTCGCCGATGCCTTTTCGTAATCTCCGCCTACGCCCCCACTGACTTCAGTTCCGATGAAACGAAGGATGAGTTCTACCAAAAGCTGTCTAGTTTGCTGCGAAAGGCCAAACGCTCAGATATAGTCGTTTTAGCTGGTGACTTTAATGCTCAAGTGGGGAAATTGTGTCAATCTGAGAAGAATGTCGGTGGCACATACGGAATCCCGTGCCAGCGAACCGACAACGGTGACCGTCTCCTACAGTTCTGCTCAGATAATCACTTGTTTCTTGTAA